ATAAATTAATTTATTTAATTAAAAAACAAAATAATAAAATTAATTTATTTAAGTATATTAATAACAATAATAAAATTAATTTATTTGATTAATATTAATTAATATTTAACCACCTTTAATATGTTGACTTGATGGTTTAGTAATCTTTTCTAATCCTGCTTTAAATTCTGTAATTTGATTTTGTAAACTAAAATTAGTATTTTCTTCCATTTCAATTGGTTTTCTCATTTTATATGTTGCATCTTCAGGTTTTCTTTTATATCTATTATCTATCCTATGCTATATAAGAATTATAGATTTAGAACATATTCTTTCACCTATATTTAATTCATAGCCCACTAGTTCAGCTTTTTCTTTTCCTTGTTCTGAAATATTTCACCACTTAGTGTCATCTTTTTCTATTTTGCAAATGGAACAAAAACCAACAGGCATTTTAGTAATGACTTGCAATCAAGAAATAAAAATTGTTACTTCGAATAAATCAGGTGGACCGGGGAATGTTGAAGTGAAAAGAGTATACTTGTAAAATTTTAAAGGTTGTTATTTGGGGCATGGACAATAGAAAAAGGGGTAAACATCAAAATCATGATTTTGAGAAAATTCGAAAAAAAAGATATTGACCCAAAAACTCAGAAATTGCAATCATTCCGTACATAAATTTTCTATAGGGTCCATGCTAAATATTAAATCATTGCATTGTTTTTATTTTGTCCTGAACAATTATCTGCACAAGTGATTATTTCCTCTTCATCAAGACCATACAATTCAAAATAATTATGTACTAAAGAAATAACAGCATCAGCTCCTTTGCCAACAAATTGTGATTCTTCTATGAGATAATTAATCTAGATAATAATCATGTTTATTACTTATTATATAATTTAAAAATCAATTGAAAAATTTTAATTAATTACCTGTCTGGGTCTAAAGTCTTCACAGATACCAAATACTTGAACTTTATATAAGGCTTTGAAAAATGAACTACCCTATTTGCCAATCAATCTATTTTAAATTTTATTTACCTTTCATAAAATTATTTATAAAAAAATAATGTACATACCACTTGTTGTGAAGAATATGGGATATGAACTTGTTCTGCAAAATCCCATGAAATGTGAAGTTTAATATTAAATGAATTTGCAGATCTAATAGGGTTTAAATCTTGATTCAGATTTTCAAATGCTTCCTTTGCATTTTTTATGCAATCTCTAAAAAATTAACAAATAAACTCAGCAACAATCTTTAACAAAAAATTAAAAAATATACAATGATTAATACCTATAATATTCATGCTCCTTCGTTGCCCATGTAATATGATTGTTCCATTCTCTAACCTTCATTTCCTTTTCTTCTTCCATCCAACAATTTGCATTGAACCTATGTTCTTTGCAAACATGACATAAATCACTTCTTGGAGTAAGAAATTTCATTTCTGGAAGATATGTATGCCATATTCTTCGAAATGTTCTATTTGAGACATACATTTCAGAATTTTCTTCTACTGCATCAATAAAATATTTAAATACAGTTGTATGATTTTCATTTGCTGGAAGAAATATAATAGGCTTTGTGTCTTTTTTAAATTTTCTTCCTAAAATAAATTTTAGATTAATTAATAGAAATTTCATTTTCAATTTCAAATAATTTATATTTACCTGGAGATGGGAGTCCATTTATATTAGAATAATTTAATATAATTTAATAATCTCCAAAACTACATCAAATGATATTGCTTTATTACCTACTCTTCCTGTTAAAGAATGTGTTCTTGGTTGTATATCAAAATCATTAAAATGACTTCTAATATTTTTCCATCTTTTTTTACCTATGCCATAGATACCTGTGAATGCAATACTACAAACCTCAATCCCTCCAAAAAAATAAATGGTTGCCAATTTCCTCCTTTTTTCTCCTTTAGCAGTTATTACATTTCTCAAACTGGCAGAAAGAACACCTTTTAAAAAAAATATCTTGTTCAGTTTTTTTTAAATCAAGAAAGCATTTATATCTAGTTTTAACATTATTAAAATTTAAATTCATTTTCAAGCATTCTTTTTGACAGCAAACTTGTTCTAGTAAATTTGTTATATAATGGTTGATATCATTATCTATTTTCTATTTGCTCCTTAGAATTAATAATTTGGTCATCTATTATTTCATTTTTATTATAAATATTTTTGAATTTCTAGTTGTATTTTTGACAATGATTCTGTTGTATCTTTCCCATGACTTTCATCCACTTCATCATGACTTTCTTCTGCTTTGTCAATTATTTCTTCATTTTTGAATTAGGCATGTGGGTATGGACAAGGATCTAACTGCAAAAAAAAATACAAAAAAAAAAGGTCATTTCTATACAGTATAGCCATTGTTTCAGTAGAGTGACTGGACATATAATAATAAGAAAATTCTATTTGAAACAAAATTACTAATCGTGTTTCAACAGATTTTTATATGTTTCATAATGTGTAAACAAAGATTTTTAAAGTCCATTGAAATGTGAATTTAATTATAATCTGTTGAAATAAGGGTTATACTGTATTTATGACAAAAATCAGGAGCTATTATTTAACAACAATAATAAGTATAAAAACAGAATGAATCTATCTGAATAAACCCTATACTTCATAACATTCAAATAAAACAATAAACTATAAAAAAATAAACCAATTAAAAAATTGTAACATCTTAAAACTTCTGCCTTAAAAATGGTTCCCTGAAGCTATTGTAAATGGTGTTGAAACTCCCAAACTAGATCCATGTTTGATATGTAATGAAGAAATTTTTTTGCACCTACTTAAAAATCATTCATTGTATTATCCTGTTGACATATCTTCCATCATCTTTACCTTGGGAATATCAGAGAAAATATAACCATATGCCCTGTCAATAATTGCATTGCAGAGATTGAAAGCATAGAAAAGTCACCACTAATGTGAACATTATCCAAAAGAAGTATGAGCATAGATGGATTGCAAGGTAGATTATATAATCAAGTAATCAACATCACTTCTTTAGAGAATGATCCATTGCATATTGGTACATTGACTGCAAGTACTTTACCATATAAATGTGCTGGCAAATTAACTGGCCCATAGAGAACTGATGGAAGATATGTCAACAGGATAATACAATGAATGATTTTTAAGTAGGTGCAAAAAAATTTCTTCATTGCATATCAA